CTTGGGCCCATTTTTGTTTTTGATTTACATAAATGACCTACCCCTCCATATAACTAATGGGGAAGTGGTGCTATTTGCTGATGATACCAGTATACTGGTAACAGAAAAGAACAAAAGTATTCTTCAAGACAAACTCAAATCTTTGTTTTCAATGAATAATATGGTCATAAATAATGAGAAGACTACAGCAATGTATTTCCATATAAATAAACTACAAGATAGCATTGAGCCAGTAATTACCTTTAAAAATATAATAATGAATTATACAACATAGTTTAGGTTTCCCGGTATTAATTTAACCCACAAATTAAAATGGAACATTCATATTCAGTCGGTCTGTACAAAGCACAGTAAGGTGTGTTACATTATTAAAGCTTTGAAAGGCGAAGTAAGTCCATATGTCCTTAGGAATGTGTATTTTGCTAAATTCCAATCTCAAATAAGTTATGGTTTGATATTTTGGGGGGGCGAAAGTGAAAGTAAATAAATTCTGATTTTGCAAAAAAGAGTTCTTCTGATAATGAAAGGAGTAACAAAGAGAACATCATGTAGACCTATATTTAGAGAATTAAAAATTTTAACGGTAACGTCTTTGTATATTTTAGAGGTGTTGCGTTATTTCAAGAAATATAACATTTACACCACAAAAAACTCTGACCTACATAAGTATGACACGAGAAAGAAAGAAGACCCTCACGTTCAGCGTTATAATACCTTAATATATGAGAAGGGTGTTACAAATATGGCTGTTAAGCTTTATAATAGACTGCCTTTGGAACGAAAAATGGTAAAAGCAGATAGAGAATTCCTACATAGACTCGAAAGATATTTACTGGAACACCCATTGTATAATTTGCATGAGTTCCTCTCAGAAGGACAGTTAAATGAATAAGATTCACTTTGATAAATAGATTTGAGTGTAAATAAAATGACTAGTAATTAGGTGAAGTTTTTAATATGATTCAGCCTATAAAGGGAATGGAAGTCTTAAAAGAGATTGCACACCAAATTATTTAATCATTATCTAAATTGAATTTTATCTTTTGTGGATTTATTTTGATATAATAGGTTTTAAGTTTAAGAATATGACGGTGGTAATTAAGATATATACAGTAAGATGACCTTGTTTTTTATAATGGAAGGTAGTCATAAATTTGATTGTACTTAATATATTTTAATTATTCCAAGAGTGTGATTTTAATTGTAATTGACTCTTATGTTATGTGATATATGATGACGTTCAGTCGATTGGGCAGGAGGCCAATTAGACTGGAAAAGTTGTATATGTATGTGACTTGTTCGAGAGTTACAGTTTGTAACTATGATGCATGTTAAATAAAATCATTATTATTATTATTATTATTATCATCATCACTATTAAGTCTTCTTGTCTTCAGTCACTGTGTACTCCTCTGTCCTAATCTGTGCTCAATCTTCACAATTCGCACTCCATTCTTGTCCTTGTACTCTCAACTTCTGAACCCTCCTGGCCTCTCCTCTGACTGAAGCCTAAACAGGTCTTTGTTATATAGGCGCTGCATGCGCAACACAGAAAATAAGTCATGTGATTCATAGTACTGTTGGAATGCGACGTCATTGTACCTGTGCGAACCATTGTCTAGAAGTGGGTTGTTAATGTTGTTCCGTTGTTACGTGTGTGTATGACAGTGTTATCTGTCCGTTACTTAGCAGTGCTCTGGCCATCCATGTTACACTGTACTGGATATTGGTTTTGTCTAATTCATTGAAGCAGAGTCATTCTTGAGAACCTGATAATCACTTGGCTGGTCATGAAATTTCCTGCCTTTTATGGACCCCAGAGTTTCATTATGACATTCACAAGAGCCTGTTACAGGACCTCATCCCAAGCCATTTGAATGCATTCCACACCCTTGTACCATATTTCCATAGGATCCATTGTAATATATACCTGTCTACACATATTTCTCCACAGTTGCCTCTTCTCTTTAGATTTGCCCGGAATTTTATATGAATTTCTCACCTCAGTGTGTGCTACATGCCCCATCCATCTCATCCATCTTGATTTGATCACCTGAACAGTGTATGGTGAAGGATTTGAGGTTCTCACAGCAATGGTTATGGTGAGTACTATCTTCTGGGATGTAACACTGTGTAGTCCGTTGAAAGTTGGCCGATGTTTCATAGGAACACTTTCTGCTCTCATGCTGGTAACTTGCTTGGCTTATTATTTTGACCCTGAAGTTGGAGGTGATATTTCCTCCAAAATGTTGGTTGACTTTGAATGGACTACATGACATTATATCACAGAAGATAAAACTCTTCAATGTATGGTGAAAAGTACAAATTATGGAGCTCATAGTCCAAGAAAATTGGCTGTACACTTGAATAAAAAGTGTGCATGGTTACCTCTTACAGGAACAAGATGCAATGGAAGATTTTGATTTTGAGGAAGGTTTGTTAAATCTTAAAGATGAAGATGATCCTGAGAGCTTTGTTGACATGACTCGAGTTATCACAAAATCCTCAAAGGGTAAGAGGAAGGACAAACAAGCCAAAAATCCAGAGATAATGGCAATTAGGAGGAGAAAGATATGGGTTATGATGTCTAAAAAGGAGCTTGGAAAGGTAAGGAAATGTTTGTAGTTTAAGTTCTTCATCTCATGGTGAATAAAGTCTGCTGTTATGCATGTCTTACGTTTATTTGGTCTCATCAATGTATTGTCTTTCCCATCATAACTTGTTGTGCCTTGTGCTATCTAAGCTATAAGCTCCCTTCAGCCTTGGTTTGTGTAGTGAAACAATTGTAACTCTGTCAATATTACGTTTATGTCAGAGTCATGACTGATTTTAGCATTACTTTACAAATTAAGTGGTACATGGTCTAAATGCAGGAATGCAATGGAAAGTTTTGCTTTGATTTTCTTAAATATTAATGGAAAAGTAATAGGTGATGGATATCCATATACTCTGAAGCAGGAACCCCATGCAGTTCAGTGTTATGATCTGTATGATGAAACAGCAATGAAGTTACGCATGATGGTGACTAATGCAAAAATTTAAACACAGTCCAAATTGTAGTCACAAGATGGAACAAGATGGTGTTCTGTATTTTCTTACTAAGTTACATACCTATCAGTAGAGCAGGGATTGTATGTAATCTTAACTAGTAAATATTTTTGTCATGACTTGTAATATTACATTGAGTGAAGCAAAAATTGTTGTTCCAAATCATTACCATTGTGCCCCCAAAATGTTGGTGCTGCTATGAACCACACAGGAGGATGTATAGTGACTGTGGATACATTGTTCCTAAGAAGTTACTGTCGCGGCTTTTCAGGATTCATTGTTTCATGACCCATCAAAGGAGAAATATTAAGAGAAAGAGGAAATTTGACTCATTTTTGTTGTGTTCGCAACAGAAAGTTGCAAAAATGTGTGTGTTAACTTTTCCATGTCTGTCTGCAAGTAACAACTTGAGAAGCACTAAGTGGATTTTGTTGGAAATTTTTATATTGGGCAGTTTTACTAAAATTTGCTTATGGATTGAAGTAACTGATTACTGATGCCAATGAGGCATCAGTAATGGCCACTTCATGAACACCTAAATATGGTTGTGCACATCTGAAGTGTAATTTGTAGGATATTAAAAGATAAATGTTTCTGACAAAAGATATAGAGAAAAGTGAAAAGCTTTTATGCCTAATACACTTTTTCCATCTCACAACTTTCCAGGTAATTAGAAAAAGGGGGGACCTAAATTAAGATATTTTCACGTGTAGGGGTGACTTATAAGACAGGTTTTGGATCGGATGATTGGATTTATTGCACCTTATATGTGGTGTGTTCAAAAAGTATCAAACCTTTGGTCGGCAGAAATACATTTATTGATTTGGAGGTACAAAACCCTAATCCCCTTCAAAGTAGTCTCCTTGGTAATGCACACACTTCTCCCAGCGCTTCCACCTTTGTTGGAAACTTCTGGAACGCGTGTTTTGGAATGGTGATCAGCTGGGACGTCGCATTCTGCATGATGTCTTCTCTTGACTCAAATCGGGTTCCTTTCAGCGGCATTTTCAGCTTGGGAAATAGCCAAAAGTCACACGGAGCCATGTTGGGGGAGTAGGGAGCCTGACGAACCACAGGGATGTTGTGTTTGGTGACAAAATCTGAATCAGATGTGCAGAATGGGCGGGTGCTTTATCATGATGGAGCTGCCAAGTTTTTGCTGCCCACAGATCTGGTTGTTTGAGCCGCACAGCATCACGAAGGCAACAAAGGACCTCCTGGTAGTATTCCTTTGTGATGGTTTGGCCTTGTGGTGCGTACTCATGATGCACAACCCCACGGGAGTTGAAGAAAACGGCCAACATGACCTTGACATTGCCCTGACTTGTTTTTTTTTGCCCTCGGGGATGTCGGATGTTTCCACTGTGAGGACTGCATCTTGGTTTCCGGGTTGTACCCATAAACCCACGACTCATCGCCTGTGATCACGGTGTTCAGAAAGTTGGGGTTACTGTTTGCACTGTCCAGCATGTCCTGTGCGATTTCCAGACGGCGTTGCTTCTGCTCCATTGTTAGCAGTTTTGGTATGAATTTCGCGGACACTCTCCTCATGCCCAAATCCTCGGTCAAAATTGAATGTACCGATCCAATGCTTACCCCAATATTATATTTAAGCATCCTGTTACACTCATACAATATATATGAGACAAACTCCGTCTTAAGTGCAACAATTTAATTGTAGTTCTTTCTTCTTCCCTTCCTCCACCCCATTATCGTTCGCAAGTTCTCAGACTGTGATACGACGGTCCTCCATGACCAAAGTCCGCACTTGCTCAATGACATTCTCATTTCGGCTTGTTGAGGGTCTGCCTGAACGTGGTTCGCTGTCCACTGATGTGCGGCCATCTTTCAAGCGGTTGTACCACTCTTTTATCCGTGAGTTGCTCATGGCATCATCCCGGAAAGCCTGTTGAATCTTGCAAATGGTTTCCACTTGGGTATCGCCAAGCTTTTGGCAAAATTTGATGAAATATCGCTGCTTATGTTGTTCCGTCATTTTACAACTTATTGGAATCTGACGAGCGCTCACCACATGTCCTCACTCATAGGCCGACTGCCAGCGACTGATGCTTTCTGCAAGCGGGAAAAAATTCACGACTGCGCATAAATGTCCCCTCCACATCTCTACCGAAGGGAGCCTCCCGCACTTCATTGGTTTATGTGGGAAAAAAGAAGGTTTGATGCTTTTTGAACACACCACGTATATTCACAACAGTTCAGGACTACAGGCAATACAGCACTATCGCTATTCTACACACTTTCGAGTTCACTGTTACACACGCACTAGGGTTCTCAGCCTTCACTAGTCATATCGTGGCAACGGATTTATCACAGTCTTAGTGTATCTTCAAATCACAAGTGAAGTCTTCTTGGCAGTCTGATTTCTTTCTTGCCATTTTCTTCTCAATTCCCTTTGACTGCTATCTTCAGGACTCTACCTAATTTTCTCCCAACTACTGTTCTATACTACTTATAAAACACTTTATTGACCGTCACAACACAACAAACAGAAAAAATCAAGGACAGCACCCAGCTATGGTTTTGCTACATGTTTCAACCACTAACGGCCATCATCAGGCAAACACATATTAACAAACATATACCATTGAACTGCAGTACATTAGATTGGATACAATGTTATTAATCATTTAAAATACTTTGCATATACACTAAGTCAGATTATATAAAAACTAAAAGTTATTGTATAAAACAAGATAAAATTGATGTTATATAACATCGAATCAGTCGTTGATATTTTACTTTTCATATGTTTCCATGGACAAATTGGAAATTCGATATTATGATTCGTTTACTTTCCATACAATATGGACGACTATACAGTTAATTAATTTGCAACATCATGGGCCTCCTATGCATTCTTATATAAAGAAATATCGAATTTCCAATTTGTCCATGGAAACGTATGAAAAATAAAATATCAATGACTGATTCGATGTTATATAACATCAATTTTATCTTGTTTTATACAATAATTTTTATTTTTTATATAATCTGACTTATTGTATTTTTATGCAAAATATTTTAAATGATTAATAACATTGTATCCAATCTAATGTACTGCAGTTCAGTGGTATATGTTTGTTAATATATGTTTGCTGATGATGGCCGTTAATGGTTGAAACGTAGCGAAACCATAGCCGGGCACTGTCCTTGATTTTTTCTGTTTGTTGTGTTGTGACAGTCAATAAAGAGTTGTATATTGTAACACAACAGGATGCACAAAATGAAAATAATACTACTTATAAGCCTCAAGGTGGACCCATAGAAAACACGGCTTCCTCTGTTCTTGTGAAGGCACTTCTACCATGCCGTTGCCAGGCAATAAACGTCCTGTTGTTCTATGTGTTTGCTTCTGTGGGAATTTGTTGCCTAGCAGTGGGTATGCACGTCACAGTGTAAAAGTTTGTGACGATAAAGATTGGGCCCAAATGAGTAGGTTTCACCTGAAGACGGAGACAGAATCCAGTCTTTGAAACGCCATGTTTTAAATAGAAACAGGATGATCGTTAATATCCAGAAACACTAGAATTGTAACGCTATGCATACTTTACTTATCTTTTACAGGTGCAGCGAGCGAAGACAAACAATCACAAAGAAATGCTTACAAGTTGTAAGCGTGTGGCGCAGTACTGCATGAAACACTGGAGGCAGAAAGCAATGCAGGTTAGTTGACCAGGCCAGATTTTCACAGGTTCAAAATAAGTAAATTGAAATGAATGTGAAGGAATTTCATGCTGACATGTCTGAATACCTTTGAGGAGCCAGGATAGCATAGTTGGTGTAGCGATTGGCTACAGGCTGGACAACTGAGGAGTGAGAGTTTGAGTCCTGGTAGGGTCAAGAATTTTCTCTTCTCCAAATTGTCCAGACCAGCTCTGGGGGTCCACCCAACCTCCTATCCAGTGGGTACCGGGGTCTCTTTCCCCAGGGATAAAGCAGCCAGTGTGTGAAGCTGACCACTCGCCTCCAGCTACTGCCAAGGTCAAGAAAATGTGGTTCTATACATCCGCTCCCCCATATGCCTTCATGGCATAGTGCTTAGTTAAGCACAGGGACAAATTTACTATTTGAATTTATGCTTCTGGTATTTGTCATGTACTATTTTCATTGTTCTAGTTTATATTTATTGTCTAAAATATTGTTGTATATGTATTATTCTGGTCGGTAACTGTTATCTTGATTGTTGTGTTATGAAGTTTCTTCATTGCTGATTTAAAACTTTGATGTTCAATCATAGTAGGGTGTAATTCCTACTCTTTTTCTGTTTGTCTTGTGGGGCAGCTGCGTTGCTCGGAAATCACTTGTTGCTGTAATCTATAGTGTTTTTTCTTTGTTTTTGTGTTCCGTTTTTCTCTCATATCTCGGGTTTATCCACCTCTTGCATTTCCACATCAGGTTTCATTGTAGGACATTGTAATACTATACGACCAATAAATTCACTGTTGCACTGGAAAGTGTGAGTATGTTTTGATAGTTCTGTTGAGACAGAAACAGTCTAATTACTTGTGTCCATTAGTTTTTGCACTCTCACTTGCAACATATTGTCGCGTATCGGGCGTATATCGCGACAAATAACTTCACGCCGTATTTTATATAGCGAATTTTATTTCACATTCGCACTTACAATCACTCAAATTACAGATTTACGATTACTGCTATTTGCAGTATCACAATTAGTACACTCCAAATGCCAGAATACAACTGACTGGCTGACTCTACGTCTCGACTCGGCGGCTGTCACAGTACAACTCAGTACAACGCTGCGGTAGCCACACTAGAACTGTCCTCGGCGACTGTTGCTTTATAACTGACTGTGAATAGCCTTCGCTTCTCCCTATGTAGCCTCGATCGGACAATACGGGAAAACGGCCACGTAATAGGCACCCTTGTAGCCACGCTGTCCGGTTACGTCACCGCTGTTGATTCGCCTTGCATAGTTACCAGGTTACGGGGCTCGGCTATCTTTGGCTCCGCTCGGCTCTCTTCGGCTCCGCTCGTGACGTCACCGCGCAAGGCTGCCAGGATGCGGGGGGATTACTCGCCTATTACGCGAGCGTTACGTTACCGCTGAGGGGTGGGAGGGGAGCGCTGACCCACCCGCCGCGTCACTGCTGGTGTGGGGGGGGGGCTCGGCTTTTCGCGACATGTCACAATATGTACTGCAAGATTTATTAAAAGTTATTCATTTTAAAATTTTTAAAATTCCATTGCTGGATGTTTCGACAGATGTGGTCATCATCAGGTGTTGAAACTGTTGGGCAAGGAAACTGCTGTCTTCTGTTGTTGCTTATGTTGTTAATATATAAGTTCCCTCGATACACATTGAGTTGGTGGGTTGTTCTCTCTTGTATTTACACCACATTAAGAAAGACCACAACCCACCAAGTCAGACACATATTTGCATTGACAGAACATATATTAACAATAGAAGAAGACAGGAGTTTCCTTTCCAAGTAATTTTAACACCTGATGATGACCACATTGGTCAAAACGTCCAGTGATGGACTTTTTAAACTTTTAAAGTTAATGCCTTTTAATAAACCTTATAGAACATAGTGTTGCATGTGAGACTGTAAAAAATTAATTGACGCTCCTATACTTGAATTTGTATTAAAATCTAAATTTCATTTGTTTGCATTTTTTGATTACAGTACATCATGTATATTATGCACGATGAATTAAAATTAATATCCGAATACTGCCATAAATTGGACTTAGTGTTCTACAGGCCATATTTCGGCCTTCCCACATATATACATCCTGCTGCTGTTTAAATATGAATAAAATATTTTATTGCTGTTGGCATTCTGTAAAAATGTATGTACCATGCAAGCCAGTAATCATTTTGCATGTAGATGGCATTGTTTTGAATTTACCTTTCTCCTTATGTATCCAGTCACAGAAAAATATGAAGGAGACAGTATGGCGAGCGAAGCGCCTGACAAGAGAGATGCAGGCGTACTGGAAGCGTTATGATCGGGTGGAACGGGAGACGAGGAGGAGACAGGAGAAAGAAGCTGAAGAACAGCGCAAATTGGACGGGGAGCTGATGGAGGTGAGTTTTTTATATATTGACATTTGTAACGACTGTAAACAATTATGACTGGAAATAAAGGACTCAGGAAAGTGGGAATGATGGATATTACTTAATGATGACCTTACAGAAGTCTATGCTGCTCTTAAGATAGTGAAATCAAGGCAGTTATGATTGATGTGATCATTTAGCTTGGATGGGGAAAGTACAAAATACATGTTGAATTTTGTGAGTTAACCTCTTGAATGATTGACAGAAGAATTTATTGAGGATTGAACAGGCCTTTGGATCTGATGCAAGATGATGATGATGATGATGATGATGATCTCTGTAAGACGGTATTGATATTTTACTGTTGATCTTTAAGAAAGAAGTATTATGGGAGCTGGATAGAACTTGCTTAGGATCGTGTCTAATGATAACCTATATCAGCTTTGAACTTTGGTCTACATGAACTTGCATATATTAAAGGCAATGCTTGAAGTTGTGGAATGGTACTATCATTTTTTTAGCATGTCTGAAGCTGTCTTAAATCTATGAGATTTAAAGTTCTTGTGGTGGTAAATATGAAAATTCCATTCGTGTGGGATGTGATGCCAGGTAGGAACTTACTGTTCTTCTCAGAAGAGAGAGGCAACAGGTTCCTCTGAAATGGTGGTACCTGGCTACAAAATTACACAGCGTCACATCTTAGAAGAACAAAATCCGTTTTTTTTATGCTTTATGACACTGTTGGTATCTCAGATATGTGCTGCTGAATGGCAGGATGATTGGTGAATAAAGTATTGGAGGGGATGTGGAAGGAAGTGGTCATGGTCTATCAGAGTACTGTCCTGACATTTGCCTGGTGGGTTCAAGAAAATGGCAAAAACTTTCTTTCAAGCTAGCTGGTGTCCCAGCCAAGATTCAAAACAAGCACTTGCTGAATAGGCTTAGAGTATTCCCCATTCATTACTTTGCTCTGTTATGATCTTATTATTCCTTTATATTGAGTGTAGTAATGCAGAGTGACACATGTTTACAAAACTTGAAGGTGGCACTAAACATCTTTATAAGTCCCACTTCGAGCAATGCCTAAAGGTAATAGTGGTTACCACTGCCTTCACTACCACTCAGTGCTACAACCCTGGGTGAGCCTTGGCCTCCTCTACAACCAGTCTCCACTGCTCTCTATTCCATGTTTTCTCTATCCATTCTTTCACCTTCATCTTCTTCAGGGCATTCTCAACATCGTCTAGTCATCTCTTCCTGGGTCTTCCTTTTCTTTTGTAAAAGTGGATATGCATTGATAAATTTGCAGGGTATTGTTTATGTAACTGCTTGGTGTGATGAAACAAAGCTAGAGGCATGAGCAATGAAGTTTCATGTTTCAGGCAAAGCGGCAACAAAGGAAGTTAAATTTCCTCATCACACAGACGGAGCTCTATGCCCACTTCATGTCTCGTAAGCTAGGCGGTGCGAATCATCAGGAGCAGTTGAGAATACTCAGTCAGTTGGAGGAGGAAAAGATCCCTCGATTGGCAGCCATTGATGATTATGACAGGTAGGTTGTTTTGTAAAATTTATTGGAACAGTTAAGCAAACATGAAGGGTAAAGTAATTCCATTGTTTTCCTACTTATTATTATTATTGGAGGGGGTGGGTTTCCCCATGCACCGCGACTAATAGTCTATTGTACGTCCCCTTTGATATTCTACCAGTCTCCATACCTTGCCAGTACTGGTGCTCGCTATCAGCCCCGTTCAGCGAGCAAGGCTGGCTGTGGTACCCGATGCTTCCCAATCTACCGGAAGCATTGGAAACTACTTGGGCGGGAAACTTGTTACCTAATTTTTCTCAGAGGTCTCCTACTGACATGAGGATCTTTTACGTGTCATAAATCTACAACATGGGACCCACGGCTTAAAGTCCCTCCCGGAGGACTTGTTCCTTGAATTTTTCCACCCTTAAAAATTTCACGACCTCCGCCGGGTTTGAACCCACGTACCTTGAGTCATGAGTTCTTACTTACTTACTTACTTACTCACTCATGGAGCTCAGCTCCTCTGGAGGAACTGCCAATTCTGCAGCTACTCAAGAATTTCCCAGCATTTTATGGAACCCAAAGGTTCATTACCGTGTTCACAAGAGCCCTCCGCTGTTCCCTATCCTGAGCCAGATCAATCCAATGCAATCCGATATCTTATATGTGTCACTCGTCTCCCCCATTCGTGCTACATGTCCTGCCTACCTCATCCTCCTTGACTTGATCATTCTAATTATAATTATATAATTCCAGTGCTTTCACTATGCTTTATTAAGCACCATGCCATGAAGGTGTGGAGGTATATCTCCATTCTTTCCCAGCCTTGTCATTGGGTAGAGGGGAGTATATGATAGGGACCAAGAAAATCGTCACAACACTGAAGGATGAAAATGAGATAAATGGAAGATATGCTTGTGGTTTTATTACTGTTGTTGGTGTAGCGTGATATGACAGTTGAGAGTTTGTTTTAGAGATGACAGCTCAGAACACTAAACTAGAAAACTCTTGAAAATGAAAGTAAATTAATACATGTGCATAAGCACCATTCCATGGAGGCATCCTGGTAACATGAAAGTAAGGATCTGCTCATTTTAGATAGGGTTGAATGGCCAGCTTCACGTTCTGTCCACCTTGTCCCCACAAGGAAAGAATTTGTGCCACCCATACTATAGAAGGCTTGCGGTGTTTGGGACAGATTTCCATATCCTGTTGGAAATTGAATATGTCATTCTGATGACACCTCAGAATAAGATGCTGCATATCCCAGAGCTAACTGTGTTTGTGGACTGTCCAGTTATGCTTAGATTTATGGGAAAGGTATGTTAACATTCACTGATGCAGTAATATTAATGTCTATTGTTGTTTAATTGTATCACAACACTTCGGCTGAATTGTTAGCAAGCTGGCAATAAGAACTCACCATTAAGAACTGAGACTTACCCTGTAGAAATGTTCTCTTGACTGGAAAGAATCAAATACACCCAAGTCTGTAAATTAAACATATTTGATTTGACAGGTGCTGTCTCTGATGGCCAGTAGATGAACTAAGTAATAGACCAGTGCGGTAAATGAAACAAATGTATGAAGAAAACAGTCTTCTGGGACACGGTGCCACATCCCAGAAGACTGCTTTCTTCTGGGATATGGTGCCACATCCCAGAAGACTGCTTTCTTCTGGGACATGGCGCCACATCCCAGAAGACTGCTTTCTTCTGGGATATGGCGCCACATCCCAGAAGACGGCTTTCTTCATAGTCACCGCTGTGAAAACCTCAAATCTTACACGAAACAAATGTAGTTCAGATTTAAATAAGTATGTTGACCAAAGCATGCTGGAAACCATGTAGAATCTTTTGTCAGTGCTGTACGGCACAAACACTGATAACTGTGTACAGTGCTTGAGGTGGAATGAAAATAGAACCGGGACGGTTTTCCCCTTTTAATTCATAGACATAAATTAAGAAAATATACTGAGTGATGTATATAGTCTGTGTTCCATCTAAGGCCTACGAACATATTACAGTAGTTTAACAACCAAAAAGGTATTGTACATTGCATTTACTGCCAAAGAAGTAACGGGATGCTTTTAAGCCATTTAGAAAAGAACCGGGATGCCATCCCGCCGGATCCCACCCCACCTCAAGCCCTGACTGTGTAAAATGACCAAAGCTCATTAATAGAAGATGGTGAGCTACCAGGAATTTAATTCTAAAGTTGCCTGTCAAAGAAGCTATTCTAGTTTTTACAAAGCCTCATATGTCTGGTTCTGAATGTGTTAACAGTGAAACCATGAAGCAGAAGGCTAAGAAGAATGTCCGTGATGCATTCCAAGCAGAACAGAACCGAACACGAGAATTCGCACATGGGGTGGCACATGAGCTCACAGATGACTTCAAGCTCACAGAGACGAGCATCAGTGCAGATGAGGAGCGGCCACAGCCTTCTATATTTAGGGGGAATCTTAAACATTACCAGCTCAAAGGCATGAACTGGCTTGCAAACCTGTATGACCAGGTATGTTATTTAGGGCAGTGGTTCTCAACCTTTGTGAGACTGCGGCCCAGTAAATTCTTTTTTTTTTTATAAGATGAGAGCCCAGTATAATTGGTTCCAGGACCCGATGGTTCAGAAACACTGATTTAGGGTATGGACAGTATTAATGTACTTGTACCCTTCTGCATTTTAGTGAAGTATTTTACTTTGTTCTTGAAGTGGGCCATTTTTTTTCCCATGATACAGCATTTAGTTTTTTAACTCATGTTTCTTATTTTGAAAAATTAATATAGGCTTATGAAATCACTTGCTGTCTGTGAATCCCCCTTTCATTATTGCTATTTATTATGATCATCATTTGTCTGAGTGTATGTCCGCTGCCCCAGATTCTTTCATTTTGTACATGGTCCGTGTTGTACCAGAAGAAAGTATGTGATTAGTTCTTCCCAGAACTTGTTGTCGTCATCGACAACAGTGACAATGACAGTGATGACCAGGGCCATTCAGTTAGTATTGTCACATAATATGTGTGGCTGTAGACGGGATTTGGATTGGTGAATGGATTTATTGACCACTCACAGGTCATAACTGCAAATAACTATAACACTCTCACTATTTCCATACTTTACAGTTCACCAGAGCACACAGTCCATTGTTTTCAGCCTGTTACTAGATGTTTCCTGGTAACGGCTCCAACATTGGCTATTCCTCTGCCTCCAGCTGAAGTCCTCTTTTCACAGACTCCCATAGAGGACTAGGTCTATCCCTGTCCCTTGCTTCTAACATCTTGGCACAGACCACATAGAAAACACAGATATTCTATTGTGTTTGTGTCCATTGTTGTGGGAACTTATCTACTGAGCTGTTGCCCAGAAATGGCTCTGGTATATCCGTTCATCTTGTGAGCATTGCATAGCAACGGTTCTACATGCTACAGTCTGTTGAACTTGCTTGCCATATCTACCTCCAGGTGGAGCAACAGGTTGGCCTGACTGGAAGCAGCATGATGGCCTGGCTGACTAAAGGTAGTGCTCTGAGATAAGATGTGAATTAGCATGGCACAGAAGGAATGAAGTGAATGGTGCCTTTGAGACATAGGGCAACCTCCCCAGCCTTCCCCCTATATGTAGGCTCTGTGTGGGGGTGACATTACATTTTTCCAGTTATAATTGTCAGAATGAGCTACTGTGGTTGTTCTTGTAAATTTGCAAAAATCATCTGGCGCCACTGAAATTGGACATGACATATTGAGGTACCCATCTAAAGAGATCCTGTACTGGAGGTCTTTGTTGCTGGGTCTTCTTCTGCTCTATGGGCTTTCACATAAACTGTCAGTGGACCTTTTGGCCTTGGGCAAGGTACAGTGTAGGCATGTAACATGGTTGTTGCCTGTCCAGCATATATTGAAGTCATAGCTGTATATTGTGAACCACTTAGGAAATTCCACATGCGGGAAGTGTGAACAGGAGGAAAAAAACTTCTACAATATATTTTGTCAATGCCTCACTTCGGTCGGGCGTACAATGGAGATCCTTGCTTCTGTGTGACTAGAGCTGTTATAAGGAGGGCTCACTCTGAATGATTTTATCATTAACATTATAGTCAGGGCTCTCTCTGAGGGCCATAGCAAGAACAGGGGTGCATGATTGACCCAGAAGCTATCTGAGTATTTATGATGACTGGCAGTTGTTCCCCAAGTAATACCATGTCAATGCTCCAACCTGGGAAGGTTCACTAATATGTTTGACCAGTGCCAATGGCTCTAGACATCTGTTACACCTGTATAATATTTAAATTTAGACTGAAAATCAATTTATGATAATGGTGCATAGAAATTTTAAATATTTGATGACAAATGTAATAGTACAAATATTATTGTAACATGTTTTAGTTACTGAAGACACCGTAGAGATTGTTAACTGATTTATTCAACAACCTACAAGTAATGGCTACAATTAATTATCACACAGTTGTGGGGTTTCACACTTTATAACCCTAATCGCATTAATCTGTTCACACTGTTGCGGGGTTTCACGATTTATAACCCTATTCGCAAATCAGTTTACTCTCTCTTCAGTAGTCTACACGTTTACAGTAGGGGAGCTATGTATCACTGTATCACACACTCCCAATTACACAATTACACACACGTCCGGTTCTTCTTTCTGCGACGGCTGCTATACTCCAACTGTAGTCTGCTGACTTGAGGACTGTTGATAACACACTCGCTCGTAGGCTTGCTCAGAACTAACTCGGAACTGAACTCGGCGATGGCCACATTACAACTCTCCTCGCAGGCAGCGCAGCTCTCTTATATAGTGGCTGTGTGTGCCTGTTACGTAGCAACGCTGTTACCTCATGCCGTCTTACGTTACCATGCGGAGGGAGGGGAGCGCTGACTCATCCGCCACGTCACTGTGGCCTGAGTTGCCACGTTGCTGCTGGGTAGGGAGGGGTTCTTCGTTGCGCAACATGTCACACTGCTCCCTCCTTAAGGCTGTTTGTCCCGAATAGCCTAACGGTGCATCCTTGTTAATTTTCTTTGGGGGCTGTTCTTGCAGCATCTCCTGTTTCGGCTACTTCTCGCAGCGACTATCATCCGGCCGTTACATTATGTTTTAAATAAAAACAGGACAGTGGATAATGTCCAGAAACATAATATTTGTATTAATGTGCCATTGTCACAAACTTTTAGATCTTATTTATAAATATAATAGAGTGAATATTTGTGGCTTCAATATTTTGTTCACTGCTGGTTCAGTGGAAAGGGGTCACATGGGCTGGATTTAGCCCATTGGATGCTAATTCGTTAGCCATTATGTCAACTATTAAACAGCAGTACTGCAGTAACATAGGATTTATCTTGTCACATGTGTGGGGGTTCCGTGACTAATAATAACGGGTTCTGGATTTGTTGATTGGATTTATTAAAACAATTTTTTACGATCTCTATTATTCAGTCAATTATAGTGCTATCGCTAATCTACTGACTTCTCAATCAAATCACTAGGTCATGCTCCATTCTCGTTCTTGTTCTGTGTTGTACTTCATTGTACTCCATTTTACTACTACTATGTTGCATCTTCTTTTTCTCTTTCTAACTCCTCGGCAAGGACCCCTAGGAAGACACCATGTTTACAGTTCCATTACCTAACAGTGGATGTCCCTGTATTTTTGAGAGCATAACTCCAGGAATGTGTTAGCAACCCATTGTCTGGCAAGGGGCATGGCATGGACCACATAGAAAACACTTCTCGCAAAACCCTGTTGTTGCATGCACGTATTTTGGGCTTTGCCCAGAAATTGGTCTACATGTCACATTATATAATTTTTCCATTTGGTAACCAGAATTAAACATCTACACAGGCTGACTCTGGTGAAGGCCATGATGTGGGGTAAAGGGTCTGTGGGATATTCAGGTGACAACTGTGGCATTAAGTGGAGTGTCTACATCAGATATCAGTCAGTTATTGCCATGACAGCTAACATTTTAGAGTAATTTGTAGAAGTACTTGCATGGGAATTTCTCTCTGTTTTAATTATAATTTGTGCTTTTCTGTCTCTGTAGGGAATTAATGGAATCCTGGCAGATGAGATGGGCTTAGGGAAAACTGTGCAGTCCATAGCATTTCTGTGCCATGTAGCTGAGAAGTACGGTGAGTGACATCATGCACATAAAAGTTCACTTTTACACTTTTGTCGCTGTGTTAATATGAAACGGTTGTGTAATAACCCAGGCAGTTCGTTGCCAGCTTTCATTTCAGATAACCAACTTTAGTGCCAGGGTAGTTTATGGGGGGGATTGTGGTGGAGTAAGTGACATCGGGGCATGTTTTATTTTTAGCACCTTCCTCCTGCCCTGTACCATTCCAGCATTGCTCCACATCTGTCCTTCTGTGGCTCTACAGCATATTTGTGGACCCTGGCCGCCTTTTTTTTTTTATTGCTAGTGGGGTGGGACTAAGTCCCTTGTACTGCGGCCACTTCTGGGCTATTGTACCAACCCCAGATGATAGGTGAGGGTGATAGTGGAGCAATTGGTGGAATGAAGATTGGCAGGGGAAACTTAAGTACTTGGAGAAAAACCTGCCCCAGTGCCACTTTGTCCATCACAAGGCCCACTTGACCAGACCCGGGATCAAACCCGGGCTGCTGTGGTGGGAAGCCAGCGACTAACCGCTTGAGCTATGGTGTGGCCTATTATTTTTTCTTACTCCATACACAATCAGTAGGACTCCTTGTAGGGGGGATCAGCCTGTTTGAAGGCTGCTACCTACACACAGAACAACATGAAAATAGAATAAATTCACAAACACATCCATGTCTCTAGTTGGATTCAGACCCACGATCCCAGTGTTTGAGCGAGTGAAGATGGTTCATGCCTTAAACTGCATGGCTACTCTGATCGACATTGCTCCACATAGTATGTATAAAACATCTTTGACATACATCATATTTTGGGTAAGCAACCTTATGGATGGAAAGTCCGCCATGTTTGACAAGATCTCATGTTATGGTGATTTCTGTACTTATCATGTGTTGGAAATAGAATGTGGTAACTTTTTATGTAGTAGTCCATGTTGGTGTGTGATGATGACGCATCCTCAGAGATATTTTAGACACCGTATACTTATCCGTCATCATGGTACGGTACCGTATGCCAACATGAGGCCTCAGTACTTAGGGACTCATTCTTACCTCATCACTATAACTTAAAGAAACCTAAATCCTGTTCTTTGTTACTAGATGCCTGGGGACCATTCTTGATCATCTCTCCAGCATCTACTCTCCACAATTGGCAACAGGAAATGGCACGTTTTGTTCCAGACTTCAAGGTTGTTCCGTACTGGGGAAGCCCTCAGGTAACTGCTTCTTGTACATCACATTTTGTCATTCACAGGGGCCAACAGATGGTGAAGTTGTCCAGTCAAACAAATATTCTGCTTGCCAGATGTTTCTTCATAAGAGATACTGTTCTACCCACACCGTTGTAATTGTAACCGCTCACTTCCTTTGTGCCCGTTTCGTTGTGCGCCACTCCACCTCCCGAGGTCGCTTCTTTGGGTTCTTTACTTTAATCAGTAGAGCTGGGTTCCTATCCCAGGGTCTTATAAGGGTCTGGCTCGGACAGGGCAGGAGGAACCCTTCACTACAATTTCACACACACACTCTCTACAACCGTTGCACTTAATGGTCATTTAATCTCGTTCAGCACACTAAATACAACTGAATTCATTAATACATTTACTTTGGACTTTTCTTATACTGCTCTACGGAAGGGCCGTAGTTGTAAATTTAGTGTCCGACTTGGCCGAAAGTTGTGTCCAGACTCTTGAGGTGGAATGCCCTCTCTCTGAATTTTGAGGTCCACGAACCCCAGACTCCAAGAGAAATCCACTCCTCCACTTCTGCCATTGGTTAATTCTTCAAACTAGGAGGTTCCCTAAATTTTGAATTCCCAATCATGTGCTCTGCTATGTGATTCTGGCAGATGCTGACCTGACGCTAAGGATGACAGTCCCTTGATGTATTACAGTCAGGGTGTGAGGCTCCGGCCGTCCCACTTCTAAGTTATCGCTGTCCCAAGCTGTCAGCTCTCATTTTCTCAAAGCCTTTCCGACGTTGCTGAAACTGCCAGAATTCCAGGAAAGTACCAGATGTTACTTCCTGTTCACATAGCAAAACTTGAACTATGTCCCTTCCGCGTGTAAGAGCT